TCATTAATAGACGGATCGTCAATATATAATTATTATGCAAAAAACTCGGGGGGGGCATCTAAGGTACCTTTTGCTAAACCCCATAATAATAATAATTTAAAAAATTGTGCATATTTAACGCATAATTACTTTTATATCGTGTAATAAATAATTTATCTTTCATAAAAAAAAGTTATGGATGATATGGATGTAGAGACAGAGGTTAGTACTTAAATATTAATCCTTAATTATGAAGAGCAAAATAGAATTTTATTCAAATTTTTGTTTATAAAGTATCATTTATATTACCATTAGCCTCTCTATTTTTTCTACTTATTTTATCCAAAATGATCCCTTTCCGCACGCATAATTTATTAAAAAATTAAGCAAGGTGAAGTAGGGCATTGTGAAGAAATAATTAGTGATAATGAACTACTTGATGAACAAGTATTTGTTCTTCCTCGTAATCACACACCACAAGCATATCTTGATATGTCAAATACTGATATGGCAAGTATGGATATACATCTTCCAGAAAATAATATTGGTTATAGATTGTTGACAAAGATGGGTTGGAAGGCTGGTCAAGGTTTAGGAAGTTTTGAACAAGGTCACTCATCATCACCTTTTATATATAATATGAAAGACATCTCTTTATTAATTTTGGTTTTTTTCCCAACCTTTAATCTATTAATTAAATAGGTAGAAGAGAACCAATTCGAATAGATATTAAATCTGATAGTTTAGGAGTTGGGAAATTAGAGGAGGAAAATTATTATCATTTTACTAGTACCTTGAAACGTAAAGCATTAGTTAGTGAAAAAATAGCAGAAGAAACTGATGAGGAAAGGCTTGAACGACAAGTAAAATTAAATAAATTTATATGTTTATGTATAATATATAATATATATACACATTATCATTTATTTTTAATTGATTAATTAGAGTAAAGTTCTAAAGAAAGAATCCATAAAAAAAGAATTAGAAACAGTTAAAGCAGCATTTTATTGTGCATTATGTGACAAACAATATGCTAAAATATCTGAATATGAAAATCATTTAAGTTCATATGATCATAACCATCGAAAGGTAATAATTATAGTAATAATAATAGTAGTAGTAGCAAGTGATGATATAATAATTAATAATTTTAAATTTTTTCTGGGGGGTTGAAAAAAATTTTTTTGTAGAGATTTAAAGAGATGAAAGAAAGTAACCGCAGCATGGTGATAACTGACAAGAAAAGAGAAAAAGAACGTAAAAGACAAGAAAAGGAACTTGCACGAATTCAACAAGCAGCTCTTCAAAGAGCAAATAATAAACTCTTTTGATATATATATATTCTTTTGTGCTATTTATTATTTATTTATTTTACAATTTTGTTTAGATTTTTCACATTTCAAAAAAATATTTATTCAATATCTATAAGCAAAAAAAACCAATAAATGATTTTCATCATGTTTATTTTGATATGCTATTTAACAATATCTTTTCTTTCTGTGCTTGCTTCTGCTTAAGCTTGTATTTGATGAAATATATGAGTTGTTGAACAGGTTATATAAACAATGTTGAATCATCATTGTAATTTTTAGTTGATGGTTGTTTATGGACAAACATACAAGTGAGGGGTTTGGGTGGACCAATCATTTATCTTATGCAAAATAAACAAGACATTACATAATGAATCTTTAAGTATTTATCAGTATTTAAGTAAAGAAAAGACCATTGAAATAGAAGATGCAAATTCTTATGGAAATGCTGTTTAAAGAACCAGAATTGTTGCTTCATGCTTTCATAAATTCTGACACCTTTAAACTGCCCCATGACTTAATCTTAAGCTTAGTAGAATCAACAGATTGGTGGGATCTTGAATATGATATATCAATATGGGCTCCTCATTTGATTAATGACTCTTCTGATCCAGCATAGTCTGGAATAATGATAAACAATGAATTCAGTAAAAATTTTGTATAATTTATTTTTGGCTAAAATATTGATACATCATTATAATATACTTATCATGGTTTCATGAAAACATTGACTAAAGGATGCATCACAGTTGCAGGGGTCATAGATACAGCATCTCCCTTTAATGTTATTAGCAAAGAATTGTTCAATAAGCTTAAAGAGGACTATGGAGTAGTGTCTGATCTAAACTGCATTAAAAATATTATAAAGATGCCATAGGTGAGATAAATACAATTTAGATACAAAGGAAAATACCATAGCTTACCAGATACTGATACTGCTCCCTTTGAGATTGTTAAATCACTCAAGCATGAATTGATTTTGGGACAATCACGGTTGATGGACCATGAAGTAAAAATCAACTTGCATAACAATAAATAATGTGTGTATTCCAATTTTAGATGATAATAAAGAGGATTATTACAATTTCCCTTATATCATTTCAAGTGAATCTGAGTCTGACATGTCCAAATTGTCTTCATCTGATTCAGATTCTAAACCTGATCTAGCTTTGAAGGAATAATCATCCAGTAACCAAAGACAACAAATGTCAAAAGGAGTATTACAAAATGTTTTGTGATGCAGAGAAAATTTTGGTCTCACCACTTTGTGGCTCATAAAATTATCTGTATAGATGTATAAAAAGGTTGCTCATCCTATTCAAAAACATCATCCTGATCCTGAGCCCAAAAGATAATGTTGACAAAATTATTAATTTATATACATACAATGGAGAACTTGATTATACTATTAGTACCAGCACTAATGGAATGCCTTCAAATCTTTGCTTGAGATGAGCTAAAACTTTCCTTGGAAGTTCTGAAGATGGAGGTACTTGCTCCAAAACTTTTCACAATTTTTTTGCATCACAAGCAATACCCATAATACATGAATCATTTTTCTGCCTTTATAGTTATGTCCCATATGAGGCAAATACTGGTATGGTATCTGTTATTTCTTCCTGCCTAGCAATTAATTCTTGAAATAGCTGTTGATCTTGGCCAAGATTGGCAGTCAAATTTCATCTAGCTTGAAGCATACATATATTTATTAAATATCAAGACTCTAAATTTTGAAACCACTCAGGGTTGAAGGAAAATTTCAGCAAAAGACACTAATTGATACAATCTAAATATAACACCATTAGTGAGAATGAGTTTGCTTTGGAAGAAAAGACTGTACTACATAAGTCTACTTTTGATTGGTTTAAAGATCATTATAAATATAAATTTTAGAAACAATTCTGTTGTTGTTTCATAGCGTTAAAATGTCATATAAGAAACGAGCTGAAGCTTTGACATTCCCGAAATCAAATCGACCTCAAACAGGGGAAGAAATGTCATCTATGTTAAGTTATAGAGATAGGTAAATAATTTCATAATGTTTTTTACCTTCAAAAAAAAAAAGTTCATAGATCTATAAATTTTATTTAAAAATTTTATTATGTTTATAGTGGCATTCTTCTGTTATCATTGACACAGTCTAGACAAGCTTGGACAAGCTCTATTCTTAAAAAATTTTCGTCAAAGAATGAAATTTTTTTTAAGCCAGATTTACCTGAAAATACTAATTCTAATGCAGTTGTTACACTTCTTGGGAAATTTACTTTAACAATAGGTCCGCATACTTTTTATGACACAAAATTTTACAAGGCCATATATGAAAAAGAAAATATAGAAATACAAAGCAATGTGACAACTCAATTAACATCTCCACAAACTGGACCACAAATCTTACCAAACTCTGTATCTCATGCTATCTCACATCCTATAATGCAAACAGTTCCACAAGCTAAGAATCAACATACAATACAGTTACCAGTTCAACATGCCAATCAACCTACAACACAAAGTTTGCACAAGCCAACTTCACAAAATTTACCAAAACAAGCTCACATTTTGCCACAACCACAACCTACTCCTAATACCAATGCACAATTATCTTCAACAACAACATCATCATCTCCATCATCTTATTCTTCTTTAAAATCTACTACACAAAATTTGTCACAATCAACATCAAATACTCTGACACAGAGGCAAACAACACAATACATGTCTCAACCAAATACACAATCATCATCACAACAGGTACAACCTTCTATACAACCTCGTATATCTCAAAGCTCTTCATCTACCCAATCTCAAGTACAAATACAACCTCTTCAATCACGAGTTCCATTGTCACGGTTACCTTCTAGACAAATACAGCCAGTAACTATAAATACACCCACTGTAACTTCATTATCAACAACACCTCTACCATCAATAATGACATCATCATCACAATCAACAAAAATTCCATCACAGGCATCTTTGAATACAAATAGTTTTGTGGGTTCATCATCCACTTTAACTTCTGGTATTCAAAGATTGAATACTGGCTTTCCTATTACTCCCTTCATGCAAACAGTGATTGATTCTGTTAATCCAAACCAAATCCTGGCAATTCAAGAACATTTACGTAACCCTGAATCATCAAGCAATATTACACCTGAACAAAGAAGTGCATTAATAAATCAATTGTCTATAGTCTATCAATTATTAACATCACAAACAATGTTAAACAATCAGCATATTCATCAAAGACAACAATCAGCACATTTGCCACAATTTCAGCAGCAACAATCATCACCACAAATGCACCAAACACAGTCCATTAACCAACGTTCATTTTATCCTGTGATAAGTCCTCGGCAAATAGTAAGATGTGAAGTACTATTAGAATTCAAGGAAAACAAACATGATAAATGGTTGTTTCCAAAGGATGCCATTTTAGAGGCAACTACAATGTCTGAACCACATGATGTTATCACATCATTTTATCTACCTCAGAATGATGACAAAATGGGTAGTGGTAAAGATTGTCAAGCTGTTACAATTCAAATGACACAATTAACACAATTGATGTTAGACTCATTACAGGAGGCAACAAATGATATATCCATAGTATACAAATCAATGACTGAAAAAATAAAGCATCAATCCAAAAGAGCTTACTTAAACTATCGATTGCCAGTTGACTATCCAGAAGATTTATTGGATATAATTGGACAAAGAGTTAACAAGCTAGATGGATCACCTCAAGATTCTTTTGTGAAACTGAAAAAAACCAAAATAGAACATGAAAAAGCCAAAGAAAAAACACGTGCTATGGAAATTGATGTAGAAATGGATGCTGAGGAATCAAATAAGGATATGATAGATAGAGAGACTGTGGGTCAATCTGAACCTAAAAATAAGCGAGTTAAAGCTTCAAAAAGCTCTGAGGGGAGAGCATCTGCAAAGTCTTCAACTACACAAAAGAAGTCGAGATCAATTCCTGAATTTAATATTCCTGTATTACAAACATCTAGTTCTACTACAAGTGGAGGGAATAAACGTTGTGCATATTGTTACTGTAAAAGCACACCAATGTGGAGGAGAGGTCCTGATGGTGCTGGAACATTGTGTAATGCTTGTGGAGTCAAATGGAAACAAGGGAAAATATTACAGTCATCTAATAACATGCACACAAGTGAAATTAATGATTCACAGTCAACAACATCTCAACATTATAAATCTAGAAAGGATCCATTTCCAACATCTGGATCATCATCTATTACTACTGCAGCAGCAACTAGCACTAGCAACATTTCTTCTATCAAATCTAAAAAGAAGCCTGGAAGATCATTCTCTTTAAGTGAAGGAGCTACAGATGAAGATGAAGGTCGTGAAAAAATTCGAAGTAATTTTGGTCTGCAAAAAAACAATAGTGCATTTTCAAAAACTTCAGCATCTTCATCCAAAAAAGCAGCTACTTTCAAAGGTTTGTATTGTAAATTTGTAATAAAAAAAAATATTATTGAGGGTTTATATTATATATTGATTTTATTTTTTTTTTATTTTTCATGCATTTAATAACTATTTGTTGACTTTTCTTTGAAAGCTTCTACTGTTTCTACAGTTTCCACAATACTTGGAGGTGAACTTGCTGATTCTCCAGGTAGATTAATAAAATTTTATATAAATTTTAAATTTATACTTGTTAGTTGAGATGTTTTAGTTAACATGTTTTAAAATTTTAGCAAATACTTCTTCATCAGATTTAATAAATAGTCCTAAAAAATCACCACAGTCATTTCCACAAGGAATATTGTCACATAATTCTCGCAATTTTAATAACCCATCTGTTTCTTTTGAGTACCCAATAAGTTTAACATTAAATTCAATTGCATTTGGACCAGGAAATGCATATTTTTCTCATTCAAATTGTTCAGTCACAATACATGAAAATTTCTTGAAAATAAATTTGTCAAAGGAAGGATATGAAAGAACAACAATTGATATTTGGAAAGAAAGCATGGAGACAGTTAATTTCAACCATGAAGAAGATAAAAATACTGGAGTTATATTATTAGTTTGGAAAACATTGGCAGCACAGTATTTAACAAGGTATGATATATATATATGTGTGTGTGTGTATATATTGGTTTATTATATAGATGTAAATTGTTGACTAATGAGTGATTTTACTGGATTTACTGAAAAAATTATATAAAGATTTGATCAAGAATTGTTGAATCCTGATCGTTATGAAACTGTAGTCATTTTCAAATTTGTTAACATGGCTATTAATATTCGAGCAAATACTGATTTTGATAATTCTTCTAGTAGCACAAATACCAATGATCAAAAAGATTTAAGAACTTTTTTAGAAAATTGGTTAGCTTCTAGTTTGGCTGTTTAGAATTAATACAGGATAAGAAGAGTATTTATTAAAAATTTCTCACAAAAATATTTTTAAAAGATTCAAGATTTTAATATTTTAATTAATAAAGCA